TTATGAGGCACAGGAGGTATATTGTGTAATAACTGCTTGATATTCTTATATTTTTCGTAAGAAATAAGCATAGCATCGTGATACAAATTCACCAGGCGATTTTTTCAAATTTTCACTGGTCTTTCCGGACATGTAGGTGATCAATTTTAAGTCTTAAATTCTGTRTCTTTCATCTCAACATTTTATATAAAATAGTATATGCTGCACTTTTTCGAAACCTTATCAAACATATTTGCAACCAATTTATCTTTTTTTTATTATTGTTTCTTATTATCTGTTTTTTGATTGCGTTCTGTAGGTTCTTCGTTAAAACGAAATTCTCTCGTTTCATTTCAATGTAAAATGAATTTATTATGTTGTTTACACTGTTTTATAATATCATAATATTCCTGTGGTGTTTACAGGAAATTCTTTTTTATATTATTTCTTTCTTTTTTTTCTATGGAAATTGGACTTACACCACTTTCATAATCAATGGTTACCCAATTTCTTTTACCGGCAAATTTTAAATTATATAAAGCATTGACATTTTGTTAAGAAATTAAATACAAATAAGTTATAAATAGATAGTTTACACTAAATTAAGTATAAATTATGTGATATCTCATTTTTTTTTTAAAAATGGACTTACACCACTTTCAAAATAAACGGTCCATTATTATATGTAGAAGCAGCATGGGTGGTTCAAGAACAAAGTGACGTCAATGAACGATAAAAAACAAATGAAAATAACATAAAATAAATGGCCGACGGGATCGATGAAAAGAAAGAATACGTTCACGTCCTTTGTATGAGTATTATGTGTATGAAAGTACGTGTAACATGAAGANTCTTATTATCTGTTTTTTGATTGCGTTCTGTAGGTTCTTCGTTAAAACGAAATTCTCTCGTTTCATTTCAATGTAAAATGAATTTATTATGTTGTTTACACTGTTTTATAATATCATAATATTCCTGTGGTGTTTACAGGAAATTCTTTTTTATATTATTTCTTTCTTTTTTTTTCTATGGAAATTGGACTTACACCACTTTCATAATCAATGGTTACTCAATTTCTTTTACCGGCAAATTTTAAATTATATAAAGCATTGACATTTTGTTAAGATATTAAATACAAATAAGTTATAAATAGATAGTTTACACTAAATTAAGTATAAATTATGTGATATCTCATTTTTTTTTAAAAAATGGACTTACACCACTTTCAAAATAAACGGTCCATTATTATATTATATGTAGTAGCGGTATGGGTGGTTCAAGAACAAAGTGACGTCAATGAGCGATAAAAAATAAATGAAAATAACATAAAATAAATGGCCGACGGGATCGATGAAAAGAAAGAATACGTTCACGTCCTTTGTATGAGTATTATGTGTATGAAAGTACGTGTAACATGAAGAATATCACTTTCTTCCAAGTATATTTTGTTTATAAAATGTATAAGGTGGCACTTGCTTATCGCTAATTGCGTATGATCGTGCCGAAGTTTCTGGAGCATTCTCGAACCAGAGGGAAGAAGAAAGAATTCGGAAATCTAGCGATAGGGAATGGTCGAGAAGTTCCTAGAAAGAAAATAGAAACGTGAGAGGGAGACGATAAATAAATTAGCGGCAAAAAATACCCGGGGGGAGAGTTTGTTTTTCAGGGCTTTGACGTGTGTGTCTGTGATTACGTTTATCGGTCGAATCAAATTGTACCACATTACATTAACTAAGGATCGTGAGTTATTTTTATAACGCTATTTCTATCTATATTCTATTGTATATTAAATTTTTTGTATAAATAAAATTAACCTCGGTGTATATTAATTACACACCTCTACGCTGAACCCAATCCTACATATATGTTTTCTGTTTGACGAGAATCAAATTTAATACAAAATAGAATGTATGTGAAGACATAGTTATCCAAAATTATTTATTAGAGAAAGCATCATTAGAGATTGTAATTAGTACCGATATAGTGAAAATAAGCTGGAAATTTGGAAAAAAATATTGTTAAGTTACAAACTTTAGTATTTAGCGCGAAACTGAGCAACAAAGATTTTATTTTCACTGCTGCAGTGATAGCGATGTTCACAGTGTCTGATATCAAAAAAACTAAAAAGTTTATTAAATTAGAAGGTATTATCTTCGTATTGCCAAGGTATTGAAACAAAAAATTGAAATTGAACAAAATGGGGAAATTTAAAATAAATGTAAATTAAATAAAATAAATTAAATCAAATATAAATGTACGTATTTTCAACAACGATAAGAAGAAGCCAACGATACTGAAATCATGAAAAATTGTTGAAGACACCGTCTTCTTTTTATTCACACTGGGAAGAAACCATGTGCATTAATATTAAAAACTTAAAAAGTGAATGCATCCTTATTATTTATAAATTATTTTCTACGATAATTCTTATTAAATTATAATCTCTTGCAACTTTTTGACCAGTATCAGTATACATTTAAATTTCTGTTTCAGTTTTCGAGATTTCTAAAACTAATAGAAAGAAGTGTAATGTCTATTACTATCGTTAGAAAAATGTATCTAAAAGAAAGTATCCATCGCAAAAAAACGCGGTACGTTGNTGTTTTCTGTTTGACGAGAATCAAATTTAATACAAAATAGAATGTATGTGAAGACATAGTTATCAAAAATTATTTATTAGAGAAAGCATCATTAGAGATTGTAATTAGTACCGATATAGTGAAAATAAGCTGGAAAATTAGTAAAAAAATATTGTTAAGTAACGAACTTTGGTATTTAGCGCGAAACTAAGCAACAAAGATTTTATTTTCACTGCTGCAGTGATAGCGATGTGCACAGTGTCTGATATCAAAAAAACTAATTAGTTTAATAAACTAAAAGGTATTGTCTTCTTATTGTCAAGGTATTAAAACAAAAAATTGAAATTTAACAAAATGGCGGAGCTTTAAAAAAATGTAAATTAAATAAAATAAATTAAATCAAATATAAATGTACATATTTTTAACAACGATGAGAAGAAGCCAACGATACTGAAATCATGAAAAATTTTTGAAGACACAGTCTTCTTTTTATTCACACTGGGAAGAAACCATGTGCATTAATATTCTATCAAAAGAATTGAAAAATAAATGCATCCTAATTATTTATAAATTATTTTCTACAATAATTCTTATTAAATTATAATCTCTTGCAACTTTTTGACCAGTATCAGTATACATTTAAATTTCTGTTTCAGTTTTYGAGATTTCTAAAACTAATGGAGAGGGAAGTGTAATGTCTATTACTATCGTTAGAAAAATGTATCTAAAAGAAAGTATCCATCGCAAACAAACGCGGTACGTTGTAAAGCGTATAGGTTGCGGAAAAAAATGTTTTTTTATGCAAAAGAAGTATAACTTCTTACGTGCGTACATGAGGACAAACACCAGGTTTTTTTTGTATATAACGCAGTTTTAAATTCTCTTATAATATTTAATAGATTTTTTTGTTATTAGTAACTCACAATATTTGGATTTTTTTTTCTTATTTCTTAATTATTATATTTTATAATGTAAAATTACGCTTTTAAATTTAATTTTATTGTAACATTAAATAGAAAGTTTCTCTCGTAATCTTTCATTAAGCTTCAAATTATTAGGTTGGTGCATATGAAATGTCGGATTTTAAAGTTAATATATAAAACTTCGTATCTTTTTTCAAAATTTGTTTATTTAATCAAAATAAACTCTATTTGCTTAAATATACTTTTCCCAACGATATTATAATACACAGATGCCTGTCTTAAAGAAATTCTGATCTTTATAATTAATAAACTCTTATATGGACTTTTTTAGACTGTCTTCATTTTTATAGACTGTTTAGCACGTAAAAACTGTTGTAAATGTTTGAAAAAATAGGAGTTAGTTAGCGAAAGATCCGGTGAATGAGATAAGTGTGGCAACATTTCATATTTTAATTTATTTAAAAAAATCGGGTTAATAGTGATAAAAATACATTTAATTGATCAAGCTTATTTTGCTTGGTTAATTAGTGCTGCATCCACTTACCCATTTTCTTCATCTAGCCAATTTCAGAAAGGTGTCGTAATATTGTTGTATGGTCAATTTTCATTCTAGAAGCAAGTTCCTTTGTAGATAAAGTTGGATTCGTTTTCACTAATGTTTTTAGAGCATCATTTTTTACAGACGTCTTGGGTCTTCTTTTAAAGGGAAAATTCAGGAGACCGAAATTTTTCAAACCAACGATGCACTTTTCGATCGTTAATAGTATTCTCCCCAAACGCCTGGTTTATATTGCGTGCAAATTTTGCAGCATTATTACCAAGTTTATACTCATATATAAAAATTACACAAATATCGGTTGAATTGATATCTTTACATAATTTTTAAAAAATTAAAAAATTAAACAATTTTGAGAAAATCTGCTTTGTTGAAATGTGACTGTGGCAATGAACAGTACGACTATAATCAAAGTTATGCCAGAAACAAAAAAATAACGAAAACAGGAAGAAAAACGTTCACATGTAAAGAAAATCCGACATTTCATATGCACCAACCTAATATAATAGTTAAAAATCTGTAAAAATTCTGAGTTATAGCATCAATTATAAGAAACAAATCAACAGAGTTCACAATTTTTTTAACAATTACTTTACCCTGAATAAAAAATTGATCATTCGATGCCAAAAACCACATGTTATTTAGACGGAAAACTTATATCACTGTGCGTCAAAGGTTAAAATTGAGATAGAGACTTGAAACTTAGAGAATATTTTTTTTATACATTTCATATCATATGAGCCTCTAAACACATAAAAATTAAAATACTCAAAATAGTGGCCACCTTAATATATATATTATTAATATATATATTATATAATATTATCATATAGAATATATGATAATATAGTATGAATGTACAATATAATAGATTTTTCTTATTAAAATGGTCCAGTTATATTGTTATATATATAGTTATTGTAATATTATATACAAATTCATACTTATATACATAAATACATTTTAATCTTCAAAGGACGACGATCTTTCAATTTTTATTCTTATATTGCTAGGTGAAAATTCGAAATTTGTTTCTTTAAATTTTTTCGAACGTTTTTTAGGAGATGAATAAATATTACTTTCATCTGATATAGAATTATCTAATTCACTGTTTTTAAAAGGTTTTACATCTTCATTGTTAACTTCATGCTTAGAACGTTTCTTGTGAGACTTACTATGGATTGGTTCATTTGAAAATAAATATTCAACATCTTGTTTAATAAATTCATTTTTTATCCTATGCTTTTCTGTTTTTATCTGTGTTTCTCCTATTTCTATGGATGAATCATTTACTTTAGATTTTTTGTGCGATTTCTTAGTAATATTCTCATGTTTTATTTCACATTCCTCATTGAAGCTATTATAATCGTCATTATCAAAATTCCTTTTTTTCGGAGATTTCTTACTTGGTGATACTTCATAATTACCTAATTTTTCTTTCTTTATTGGGACAAGTTCATAGTCTTCTACTTCTGGTGTTGTAGCACGTTTTCTTTTATGTTTCTTCTTTGAACCGATTTCACTGTCTTCGTTATTAAACATAGATTTTTCTGATTTAACCTTGATTTTTTGTTCTTTACTGCTTTCTTGAGTGTTCTCTGATTTGCTAGATTTTTCAATTTTAATTGTAACATTATCACCAAATTCAGATTCAGAACCTGTTGAAGATCTTTTCATTCGCTTATTAGATGATTTCCGTCTATGATTTGTAGATTCTTCTTTGATATTATTTAACTTGGACAATTTCTCTGATTTAATTGGTGTACTAAATTCATTATCAGAATGATTTTCATTTTCTAATTCATGTACTTCGGAATATACGCTTTCATCAATAGCATGTTTAGACTTTTTAGAATGCTTTTTAGATTTTTTTACATGAATATTTGATTCACTTTCAGAATTGGAAATATTCTTTTCTAATTTAACTTTAACGTTACTATAATCAAACTCTGAATCYGTTATTTCAGATACTTCTCCAGATTTTCTTTTCAAACTTTTATCACGTTTTTTCTTTTTCTTAACGGACGTTTCACCATCATTTAAATAATCAGCTTCGTRGTAAGAGATATCAAAATGTTTTTTCTCCTTTTCTGTTTCAATCGTTGATTCTTCAGATTTTTTCAACTTTTTCTTAGAATGCTTACYATTATATTCATTTTTTGTATCTTCGCTAGTAAAACTTCTTTTCATATTTGTAACATGTTCTTCTGAAAATACTTGTTTATCTATTTCTTTCGACTTTCWCTTTTTCTTATTCATAGATTGACGTTTTACTACACTCGAACTATCTGTATCATCGCTTTCATTAGCTTCATAAAATGATCCATTAGAAGCTTTGTGTAAAGGTAATTTACAACCTTGTAGATAGTCGCTATATATATAAGCAAGAATAAAAAAATAAAAATATAGTCTATATTTTAATAATTAAACATAATGTTTTAAAGGAAAGAGTAAGTTGATCATTAACTTACGTTTCATTGAATACTCCTCGAATAAATGGTAATCTACTATTATAATCCAAGTGCGTAACTGCAAATCTAACTTCTTGACCTATATTTACCATATCGCCTGGCCATTTTTCAGCATTCTCCGGTCTGAGAATAGATACGTTAAAAGTTTTGTGCAWAAGCACACCGATGTAGTTAACTCCCTTTTTATGAACAACACCTAAACAAAAATTAGACGTTACGATAGAAGTAAAATCTTAAAATAATCTTAAAAATAGAAAACATATTAGATCAGGGATAGTAAGTAAGATTTGATTTACATGTTTAAATATGGTGAAATTTGTTACGATCTTTTTCCTGTATATATATATATATATAAATATATGTAATAAATATCAATAATTCTATTCAGTCTTAAACTGACTTCAAGAATTTATGATTGTATTGAATAATACGTGCTTTCTATGAAATTTGATTGAACGCTATGGTTAGTTTTACATATACAAGCATGCTACTTATTTACCATTCTTATGTTAGATAACACATATTACCTTTTAACAAATTCCCAATTTGCGGTCTAAATACATAAAAGTCTGCTTCAATATTGATATGAATATAATATGAATCATAAAATATATCTCCATAAGTAGTAAGTAATTTGGGATTTTTATAAGCTAAAAGAAAACCTTGTAACCTAAAACAAATTATATTTAAATATAGTTATAAGCATTTGTTAATAATATTATTTGATATACATACTCGGTATCATATGTGTTCAAACCAGAACTTAATATTTCATCTAATGCTGTACTAAGATCATTCAAATGAAATGGATGTAATCCAAGATGTTTATTCAGACGTTCATAATATACTTGTGAATTTTCATCTTCTAAAAGACCTTCTAACTCTAATAAAGACCAGGTTATACCTGTATATGAATTAAACTTCATTTTATTTATAAGAGACACTTAAATACAGTTTCAGAATCAGTTAAAAACAAGAATTGAGAATTGGAATATAAACTATCAGAAACCTGTGTTTCTGATGTTTGTATTAATTATTGTTTATCATTACGTCAAGTTAATTAAACACGTTGTAGAAATAATACTTTGTTGTAAACTAAAGAATATCTGCAGTGGACAAGTCTGTTGCTTTACCGGAAGTTAGAAATTATTTCGGTGCATCCGTACAAAAGATAGTTTATATGTCGTTCAAACCATGGTGACAATTTTTTTCTTATATTATTTTTCTTAAGTAAGAGTATTAAATATTATTCTAATGTTAGTACTATTATATTCATATTAGATTCCCAAATTGAGAATAATATAGGTTTGAATTGCAATCAACTAACAATTTCGTTTAAAGTAAATATTGATCATTGAGAGTCTAACTATAAAAACTAAATATCCCTAACCTCGCTTAGTAACATTGTAAAATGTGTTTCTTATTTAATATAAAATTTATTTAAATTGTAAATCACAATTAAATATATATGATACATACGTATATTAGATATCTATTTATTATAAAAAAATATTTTAAAATGATAGATTTACACAAA